TTTCTTTTTATTTTATCAGCAAATTATGTTAATTAAAGCTCATGCTAAGAAATGTTTCCAACTGAGTTCAAGAAAATGGAGAAAACCTTATAATCAACCATACATAGAAGATGGAAAAGCAATAGAGAATGCACTGATGCATGCTCAGGCATCCAGGTAAGTAAATCCCAAAAGGCTGAATCTGTTGATCTGGACGTAGCGTTTTCAATGGGAGAAACATTCTCCTTCAGTCACTTGGATGAGTGAGGAAACATTTCTCCCACTGAAAACGTTACGTCCAGGTCAACAGATTCAACCTTTTGGAATCTAGAATGCAAATGATGGTTGATAAATAGCTATGTATGCAATGTGACCACTGGCTAAGTTAGGCCAATGCATAGCCAGTGGCCTCAAGGAACTTTATATTGCATGGTAAAGACCCTGCAATATAAAAGAAACCCCCAACAATCTAACGATCCCCTCTGAGCAAGCACTTGGCGACAGCGGGAAGGAAAAACTCCCTTTTAAGAGGAAGAAACCTTCGGAAGAACCAGGCTCAGGAAGGGGCAGCCGTCTTCCACGACTGGTTGGGGCATAGATGGTACAAAACATGGACATAGCTTGTTTGTTGGAAACATGAAGCCAATACAGAAGAACCTTAAGTGTCACACATGCTCGGTATTGTAACAACATTTTCTGACCTGAATGCCTGGTTCTCTGTTTGGAGATTTCCAACTTTTTCCTGCAATGCCAGCTTCTCCATTTCATACTCTTCAAGCTGAAGGTGCATTTCTTCTTGCAGAGCCTGTTCATTTTGTCTCATTTCCCTCCAACAATCATTTATCGTTTTGGTAACGTCCATCCGACAATCATTGATTGTTTTGGTAAGCTCCTGTTCCAGAGCTTTGTTATATTGCCTAATTATATTTTTCTCATCTTCAGAGCTTTCGAGTTGTTTGAGAAGCTCTTCAATATTAGTTTGGAATGCCTGGTTGTCTGTTTGGAGATCTTCGACTTTGAGCAGCAATGTTATCTTCTCCATTTCATACTCTACATGTTTACGGTGCATTCTTTCTTCCAGAGGCTGTTCATTTTGTCTCATTTCCTTCTGACAATCAGCCAACTTTTTGGTAAGCTCCTGGACTTCCTGTTCCAGAGCGTAGTTTTGTTCCTTTATTCTGTTATTCTCTTCTTCAAAGGATTTGAGTCCTTGCAAAACAGATTTGAACTCCTTAACTTCTTCCTGAATAGCAATGTTTTTTGCTTCAATTTCTTGTTTCAGGTCTTGGTTTTGATTGTTCAGAGACTCATTTTCCTGTTTTAATTCCTCATACAGTTCCTTAAAATCTTTGAAATTTTCCAGGGTTGTGTTTGCCTCATGGATGTCATTTTGAAGAGCCTGGATTTGCTGTCTCATTTTATCTTTTTCATTTTGAAAAGTCTGTTTCAAGTCAAACATGCTCTGTATTATAGCATCATTGTCTAATCTGTATGCCTGGTTGTCCGTTTGGAGATCTTCAACTTTTTCCTGCAATGCCAGCTTCTCCATTTCATACTCTTCATGTTTACAAGGCATTTTTAAGTTGTTTTTAAGTTGCTCCAGAGCACTTTTCCATTCTTGATCATTTTGTTCATAAGCACTCTCCTTTGCTTGAACTTGTTGTCTCAAAGCTTGATTTTCACAGTGCAAATAGGCAACACAATAGTTCAGCTCTGAATTCTCCAAGCAAAGCTTCTCATTTTGTAGTTGTAGTTCCCTTTTGTTCTTGTTTTTAGAAAACCCATATTCTTTGAGAAGCAGTTCAATGGTTTTTCGGAGGTTTTTGTTCTCATTTTTGAATTCCCTCACTTGCTGGCGAAGGTTTTCATTCTCTTCCAT